TGTGTGAACTTTTATTTTGTCAGCAGCGCTTTCTTGAAGGTTCATCATCAGATTGAGGAAGTCCAGAGGTTCCACAATGACAGGACTAATTCAGTTTTACCGAAAACCGGGGCTCTGCCCAAGTCAAATTGAATTCTTGAAATCCAAGATTGAGACGGTCGTTCAGCAGTCCAGCCTGGAATCTGTGGTCACGGAATTGTGCTTTTATATCGAAGCGGAGTCGAAAGGTCTGCTATTGTCCATAAATTTTGTACATATCGATGCAGCAACATCTGGGCTCTCGCCCTTCTGTCCAATGCCATGTAGTGATAAGTGCAGGTTTGCTGCAGTTGCTGTAATGTTCCATAGAGTGTGTTGTCAATGTTAGGTCTCGGAGGGAGAAGGGTAACATATTGTCAGTAAAAACGCTGTTCTCTGGAATTTTCAAGAAACCACAAAACTGTTGTATAGTAGCCTTAGTTAAGTTAGTTTAGTTTTTTTAGTTTTTTTCTCCTCCTACTGCTCAGTCCGGAGTGTTTTTGTTCATTTTGCAAACCGTGTTATCGTCGTTGCACTAGGACAGTTGCACTCAATTTTCTCTCACTTTTTATGAAAACTTTTATAAACTGTATAATTGTATACTTGCCGCCTGATTTCTGTAAATCTTTCGTTCTTTGTCTCAGATTTGTCAGAGCAGGAAGAGTCGGTGCTGAAATGGGTTTTGTCCGTGCCTTTTGAAGAATCGTGCCTGACAAAAGACACAGGGCTCAACAAGGACGCTTCTTCACTTCTCATTGAAGTAGGGCCAAGGTCAGTGTGGTCAGAAAAACATTTTAAAATTTTGTTATGGAGTAATTTCCCCACCAGTGCAGCACTACTGACTGGACTGAAGTGTTTTTAGGCCATTCCCAAAGGGAGGATATTAACATCATGTTCTATGCACAGTAGAATTGTAAATAGACTGATATATCAATGTCATTTATTCTCATACTGTGCCGGAACAAGATAGGGGGAACTGTTGCTTTTTCTTTTCTCATCTTTACTTTACTATCGTCATTTTCCCTGTACTTCTTTTGTAACAAAGGTATGTTTGTCACTCTCTTGTGAACTGCTATTACCGGGGTGCCTTGACAGTCGAAGCAGACTTTGTGCTGTGAGGCTAGAGAGGTGAGCAGAGTAAGCCTGATTCCCCATTTGGACTTCTCTGCTGACATCCACCCCTTGGCGCTCATATGACTTTACGCAGTTGGGAGCGCAGTAAAACCGTACTAAAACTAAACTAAACTAAACGTGAGTCTGAGCTGCTTGATGTATGATTGTATTATTTCTCTGTTCAATGCTTGTGTCATGACAAAGTGGAATCAGGTGCTCGTCAAATTTTTGACAAATGGAATTTCTTATATAATTTTAAAGCTCGTTCATTTGTCTTGGTTCGGATGAAAAAAAAAAAAAAATCATCTATCTTGAATAGAAGTCGAGATATTTACGATTGAAGGAGGTTGGGGTCACCTGGTTTCAGAGGTAGAAGTTGTGAGAAAATGGCCGACAAAGGTTGGCGACTACCAAAGCTAGAGTGCCCTTGGAAACTGCAAATTTACATTTTTTGTGCCTTTGATCAATATTTTTCAGTAAAGTCAACACAGAAATTTGTTTTAATTGGACGTAAAAGGTGTTGAGCTGAAAAGAAATATTTAATAAAATTAAAATTGAACATGGGGGAGGGGGGGGGGTTGGAATTGTCGGCTTCTTTGATTTTATTACTTCGGCGAGTGCCTGATTTCGCCATGTTACCACATATTTGTTTAGTTTATGGTTAAATCCATAAAGTAAGTCCTCTATGACTTCCTGGAACAATATTTTATGAAGTGGAAGGGAACATTTTTTAAACCTGAATATATCCATAATTTTCAAACAGCTTGTTTCCAAGGTCTTTATATATATATATGCATAACATTCATTGGACAAATATTATGCACTGATTCTTTTCTCTTGCATCCCTGAATTTTTTCATTTGTGAAATCTTCAGATCTATTAAGAGATAGCTTTTCTGATTGTTTGTTCCGGCATGTTAGATTTTTGTTTTTTTCTTTTTTACCGTTTTCAGTAATTTTTTTCTTTTTTTACAGGCTCAACTTTTCTACTGCATTGTCAACCAACAGTGTTGCAATTTGTCAGTCCTTTGGATTCACCGACATAAAGCGCATTGAGTATTCCATCAGATATCTGCTCACTTTCAAGGCCGGATGTTTGCCGTCTGCTGAGGAAGAAGAGGAGGTAAGTTTTCCCAAAGTAGTCTCTCTCATTATTAACTCTTTAAACCCTGATTTTTTTCCACCGTTTCCCAGAGTTTTTTCTACAGTCACCTAAACCTGGTGCACTATGTCTCATTGTAACTTCTAAAAACGCTATCTGAACTTGCAACGTACTTGTAAATGGCGGAAACTTGGATCGGGAATAGTTTCGAAAAACAAGCTAAAACTAGCACTTAAGGAAACGAAACAGTTGTCACTAGTATCGGACGCTCCCAGCGTCTGATGGGGAACAGGGTTATTACTGCTGGACGCTGTAAGTGTGCGTCCGATGGGGTTTAAAGAGTTAATACATTGCCTTGTAAGAAACAGGAATTGAAGAAAAAAACTTTCCTGTGCTGCTTCTGTGCCAGTCTCTCTCTAAACTCTTCCTTAAAACCTCCCCAATAAATGTGTAATGTAGAATTATATTTGCTTGCACCATTTATTCAGTTGGTATCAGAGCGAAATGCTCGCAGCTAAAGGTATTTGTTGATAACATCTACAACACTGTTCAGTTGGTATCGTGCACATGACTGGTTTGAATCGACAATGTGGCATTCTGTAATCTGGATTATTGTTTATTTCTTTTGGAGTTTTGAAGGCTTTCCTTCTGTTTTTTTTCGTTTAGTTAAATTGGAGACTGGAGGAACATTACATTTTCATGGTTTTTGTATAGAAATCAGGAAATCCTCGGGGCTGTGCTACTGGCTGAAGTGTATAGAGGCCATTCCCAAAGGGGGGACATTAACATCTCGAGTTCTTATGCACATAAGAATTGTAATTGTAAATGGGCTGATGCATCAATGTCATGCTCATAACTGTGCCTGAACTGCAAAAGGGAACTGCTGCTTTTTCTTTCCTAATCCTTACTATCGTCATTTTTTCTCTACTTCTTTTGTATGTTTGTCACCCTCTTATGACCCGCTATTAGCGGGGTGCCTTGATAGTCGAAGCAGACTTTGTGCTGTTGAAGCTAGAGAAGTGAGCAGAGTAAGTGTGATTCCCTTAAAGACTTCTCTGTTGACATCCACTCCTTGGTGCTCATATGACCTTATGCAGTTGCGAGCGCCGTAAAACCTCTGCAAAAAAGAACCGAAACAGACATCATCCCAGCAGAAAGAAGATGTTATATTTAATAAGTGTGCCGTGTTCCCTTTGCACAAATCTCACTGACCTTGACCTTGTGTGTACAAAGTGATACCCCCCGCGGCAGTGCCACTGACTGTAGTGTCTTTAGACCCCCCGCGGCAGTGCCTCTGACTGAAGTGTCTTTAGACCCCCCAGGGCAGTGCCACTGACTGTAGTGTCTTTAGACCCCCCGCGGCAGTGCCACTGACTGTAGTGTCTTTAGACCCCCCGCGGCAGTGCCACTGACTGTAGTGTCTTTAGACCCCCCGCGGCAGTGCCACTGACTGTAGTGTCTTTAGACCCCCCGCGGCAGTGCCACTGACTGTAGTGTCTTTAGACCCCCCGCGGCAGTGCCACTGACTGTAGTGTCTTTAGACCCCCCGCGGCAGTGCCACTGACTGTAGTGTCTTTAGACCCCCCGCGGCAGTGCCACTGACAAGTGTCTTTAGACCCCCCGGGGCAGTGCCACTGACGGAAGTGTCTTTAGGCCATTCCCAAAGGGGGGACATTTCTCGTTCAAGCATAGTAGAAAATTGTAAATGGGCTGACTCATGTCACGCTCATAACTGTGCCTGATCTACAACAGGGAGCTGCTGCTTATACTTTCCTGATCCTTACTATTGTCATTTTCATCTACTTCTTTCGTATGTTTGTCACTCTCTTGTGACCTGCTTTTTTGGGGTGCCTTGATAGTCGAAGCAGACTGTGTGCTGTTGAAGCTAGAGAGGTGAGCAGAGTAAGTCAGATTCCCTGTAAGGACTTCTCTGTTGACATCCACCCCGTTTTGTTCATATGACCTTATGCTGTTTCGAGCGTCGTAAAACCTCTACAAAAACAAAACAGACATCATCCCAGCAGAAAGAAGAAGTTATGTTTAATAAGTGTGCCGTGTTCCCTTTGTGCAAACCTCACTGACCTTGACCTTGTGTGTACAAAGTGAAATATACATGTGCCGCCATTGACATTTATCTGCTTAAATGAAATCTGTAATCAGAATAGAGAGGTCTATCCTGGATTCATTGTGTTTCATTTTGTCTGACAGGTTCTCAACTGTCTCCATGACCCAATGACCCAGTGCCGCTATACCGAACCGCTGCAGACGTTTGACCTTCATACGAACCCTGACCCTGTTTTTGAAGTTGACGTCCTTGGGAAGGGAAGGAAAGCCCTGGAGAAGGCGAATGAGACTTTGGGTATGATAAGAGAGTAGAGTATTACGTAATCTAAGGTATCGAAGAAGGGGGGAGGGGTAGGAATAAAGGGGGGGGGAGGGGGGGGACACGTTATCCAAAATTAATAAGTGGGGGGGGGGGGGTTGGAATAAAAGAGGGGGGGGTGGTGAGTGTGGCACATTCAACCTCATACCCCTGTAATAGTAGAAACAAATCTGTTTTATTTCTTCTTCAGGGAACAAAAGAACAAGAAATCATGAAATTTTAGTGAGTTCAGTAAGTTACTGTGACAACTTTTCCCATTTAGGAACAAACCTGTTTCATTTTAAAATATAAACCAATGTACAAAAGTTTTAAAAATGCTCAGATAATTGAGGTAGCCAATTCGGTACCGGTACTAATACTGAGGCTCATTTGCCATTTACGAAAAAAAAAGCAGTTTTATTCAGATATCTAGATTCTAGATATAATGTTTCACATGATCGTTGCTTGTAGCACACTAGAAAATAATAAACGGGGGGAGGGGACGATATGGAATAAGGAGCGGGAGTTGGGGGGTTGTGCAAAAAAACTGAAAATTAATAAACGGGGAGGGGGATGGATGCTTATTCGATACCTTAGAGTACTTCTTTTTTCCCCCTCTGCTGTTTCTGTCTATCTATCTTGCTCTTTCCCAGTACCCAATGACCCTTGTTATGTTGGATTTGCTTCTCTTTCCCACAACAAAGAAAACGTCTCTTTCAGGGCTGGCATTTGACCCCTGGGATTTAGATTACTACACACAACTGTTCCTGGAGAAAGTGCAGAGAAACCCGACCAGTGTGGAGTGCTTTGACCTGGCCCAGTCCAACAGGTCAGCTTATGGGGGTTTTTTTTCTTGTTTTGTTTTTGGTGTTTTGTTAGTTTTTTATGGCGCTCGCAACTGCGTATGGTCATATGAACGTGCGGGACACACCAAACATTTTCAGTTTGTAGGAAATTTTGAATTTTGCCCGGGTGGGGACCGAAGCTACTCATATCAATTTTGGACCACCAAGGGATCTTCAATGTGTGCAACTTGCACACGGGACCTCTGAGATTTTTTGCCCTTATCTGAGAGGGCTAGGTGTAGATCTTTCCTACCATAAGATCAGGAATGTGGCTAAAAGACAGCAGTAAGGAGCCATAGAGAAGCAGTAGAAAGGCTGCAGAAAGAGTCAGGAGCCCATAGGAGGGGGCAAAGGAGGTGAAAGGGTGGAGGCAGAAAATGGCGACGAAAGCAGAAGACAGAACATTGTGAGAGAGCAGAAAAGGAGGTGAAAGGAGACAATTATTTGAGAGAAGAACATTTTTCCTATCGCTACCCGGATTCGAACCCGGGACCTTTGAATGAAAGGCGAACACCTTTACCTCTAAGCCATGAGAGCCCCCTTAGTAAGAGTTTTACGACACTTTTCAACACAAATAGGTCATATAAGTGCTGAGTATTAGCGGTGTAAGGAGAGCGTAACAAAGAATGAGAAGAGATGAGGAGGAGAGATGATTGACAGGAAAGAAGGAGTAAACCACACTAGTGCACTCGCCAACCACCCGCATGTAGTAATGTATAGGTAGACCCATGTTGACTAGCGGCATGAACCTGTTGAGTACTTTTAGCGGTTTATAAAGGAAATAAGGCATGGGTTCTTGATGTTGATAACAGTGTAGTAATAATAATAAATGACATTTATATAACGCTCAACCCCGATTAAAGTACACAGGCTCTGAGCGCTTTACAATACAGTACAACGTACAACAGTAACATAAAACATTGTGTTCTGGCTAACTAAATCACTCCAAATATTCATCTTATTAATTTAAAATGAGAAATGACTTCAACTGACATTTGAATGAATGAAAAGTGAATGAATGACTTTGCCACTTATATAACATTTACAAGTTTTGTGCTCGCTGTTGCCTTTTTTTGCTGGTGTATTACTTGTATCAGTATAATGAGCTTTGTTTTTAGAAAGAAATCTAATGATTTTAAAAAATAGATTGTGTATTTAGGCCACAAGGGCTTTTATGCATATGTGTCAGGATGCGGTGGAATCAGGTGCTCGTCAAGTTTTCGGCATATGGAGTTACCAGTATCAGCATAAAGCTTATTCATTTGTCTTGTTTTCAGTGTAGAAAGTACCCATCTATCTTCAATAGAATTAACTCATTCGCTACGTATTATTTTCGGCTTGTGGACGAATTCTTTTCGAGAGGGCGAAATGAGATGATGACTAGTGCGCAGTTCACAGGTCTTTGGGGCCATAAATTCAAATAAATATCAACATATTATATACCAACATTTTCAGTATGGTTTGTTGAATACACCTGCATTATTTATTTGCGTATTTTTCAACTTTGGTTCCTGTAAGAGGCGATTATGCAACACAATTGTGATTGGATGCGGATAAAATTGGAAAATAAAAAATGTATAATCTCAGGTGAAACTAAAAAAACATGTTTGCACCTAGTCAAATGATACCTCAAAATAACCGTAACTGTATATAGAACAGGAAAATATTGAAAAATGTGCAGTTATTTACATACATTCCATAATATTTGTACATTTGGATCATAACATCCGATATTGAAAAAAAATAATTTTTAAAATAATTTTGAAAAGAGGATCACAAACAGAAAAAAATACGCGTAACATATATGGAATTATTCAGAATTGCACTTGGAATAAACCTATACATGTCTTGAGTGGTACTTTTTGATTAATTTCACCCAAAAGTAGTGATTTTGGGGAGAAAAAAATATGTTGACTATTTAGATCTAGACCTAGATCTAGCACTCAAAAATATTGATTTCTCAATTACAGTGCACCGGCAATTTGCGTCCAATAGTATCAATATTATAAAGAAGAGTCCTACACTTCTTTAGTGAGCAAAATAATTATACATTTTGTTGTGTAAAAGTACTAAGACTGGTGTCTGGGCTACAATTTGGGCTTCGCGGTATCGAATAAACTACGAAATCATGTTTCAAAACTGAATCACAACTTCCGATTTTCGGTGGAAACGCTTGACCCGGAAGTCAACATTATATTATGACCTTTCTTTTAACATGGATAAGTGGATTGGAATAGAAACCAAGCTAAAATTGAACGTCGGTTCTCGAGCCGCCGGGGGCGGCTTAACGTACTGACGGCACTTGAGCCGCGCCGCCCCCCACGGCTCGGCGTAGCGAATGAGTAAATCAAAGTTTTAAGTAAAATCCACACAGCAATGTATTTTTTAATGGACGTAAAAGGCATTGAGCCAGAAAATAGAAATTCAATAAAAATTTCCAAACTGCTAGAAAAATGCTGGTTTTTAAAAAATATAATTATTTTGATGAGCGCCTGATTTCACCACAGTGCCTCACGTATGTTTGCAATACAAGCTTTGACAATATGCCGTTTCAAAACTTTTCTTTCTTTTTCTTTTTTTTTTTTTTCTTTTTTTTAGGTGTGTTTATGTGTGGAAATGGAGAGACTGGTTTGGCAAGTTGTTTCATTGTTTTTTTTAGAATATGGCCGAGAGAAAGACTGGGAAAGTATTGAAGTGTCATGCTTGCTTATAACTCCCCAATGTTTTCTGTTTTGTCGTTTCAGTGAGCACAGCAGACATTGGTTCTTCAAAGGTCGCCTGATGGTGGATGGGAAGGAGTGGCCAGAGTCGTTGTTCTCCATGATCATGAACACACAGTCTTCCAGCAACGACAACAATATCATCAAGTTCAACGACAACAGCAGGTGAGAAGTTCATCTTTTTTAATTGTTTTGTGCAGATACTACTAGACGATGAAATTTTTATTGAGCTGGAGTGCTTTTTACAGGTGGCACTGAGCTTTGGGAGATGCTGAAATGTTGTGTAAGCAAGTGTTAGAAATGCTCTTATTTTTTAGTCTTCAACTGATTTTTAATTTCAATAAACATTCGTTTTGATAGAAAACCGATCCAGATTTGTTTTTTTGTTTTTTTTTGTTTTAAAGTTTCAAATTTATGATATGTCTTTTGCAGAAGGAAGTCCCTTTGGCCTTTTGTACATCGAGTCAATGCTGAGAATGTTTTTTGTTAAAAAAAGAACATTTGATCTCGTCTTTTTACATCTTATCTGACATGTTATATTCCAGATGAACAACATGCACATGCCACGGCGCACCGGCAGTGGAATTTTAGTTGCCGCAGGGGGTTCCCTGCCGGGCGCCTTATCACGTCGGGGTCACGGGGGTCAGCTCCCTGTCGCCGCTCTGTCTGGGCCGACTTAATTTTTGGTACTTTTCAACGTACAATTTAAGGTGCATCCTTGTATTTATGGTAATTCTCATTTAGTGCACCCAAAGCACGCATTTCTGCTCTTGAGACTCAAAAAAGAACGGACGTTGTAACTTGTCTGGTTATTTCGTTAGACGCGCTGGAGTCGGCAATGCTAAATTGTAATTTTTTTTGGACTAGCGTGAATGAAAAAAAATCAATATAAAAAAAGCGCATCGTCAAAATCTGTCGAACTTTTGGAATATGAACGAAATAACATTAGTGCAGGTACTCAGAAAAGATGGTATCTGCGCTTATAATAGAAGGCTGTAATTTTGCAATTTTATCCATCGGGCACACAATTCGCTGCGAAGTAATTCCTCCAAATACAACTTTATGTGTCTAATATAATCATGAATATTCGCATATTTTCTCGAAAGTTTATAAAAGTTATCATGAAGTTTCTCAATGAAAAGTACAAATCGATTTTAGTGCTAGAATATATCTTCAACGTAGATCTAATACACGAACAGTATCTGTTACACTCCAGAAATTGCTTACTTTTCTTAAAACGCTAAGTCTAGGTTTTGTAAGTTGACTGAATAATAGGGATGACTTCTCGTAATTGGGTTATAAGAATAATTTCTAGCTTTCCAGGGACACTGAATCAGCACCAGAATTTTCCAGCTTTTTTTACGTTTCTATGACCATTTGCAATAACTGACAATGTGACTGATTTCTTTACATGCATAATTGTGTCCGCGCATATTTCCTACACAAAAACTAAGAGTGAATGTTTTAGCTGTCGTTATTTTTATTCCATACTAGAAGTTTATCTCTACCCATGTATTTACACGGTTTTGTGGTTTTTTAAATCGCTTATATTATATCTTTTTAGTTGTATGCAGGCTGCCACAGACACAGCATGATTCATGAACAAACGCAGAGTAACTTTCTCTTGTTTAATAGTAAAATAAGAGGTAACGCTGATCGTCTTTGTAGTCAGTTTAACACAGAATTTGGAGAGGTCTGTCGTGCCTTTTTAAAAATAACAATCATTTATTCATAACTTTGTAACTAAAATAGGACAAATTGGGTACTCTACAAACACTTGTCTAGAACAAAAACTAAGGCACAGAAACTAACCATTCTAACGCAGAATAAATCTCAAGACATTGAGCTTTTAGTACATTCGCGTAATGGTTTGCTGTGTGGGATGGAGAAGAAGTTATATCGTTTTAAACATAGTCAAAAATGCGAACTTCCCGACCGACACCGGCAAAGTCGCCTCAGGGCTCATTAACCCCGTGACCCTGAGCCGGGGAGCTCCGGCGGGCTGCTGAGTCACGCGAACTAAAAGTAACAGAATCGGGCGAAAAGTGACGCCGTGATGCAATTAATTCAGTCCAGATAGAAATGTAATGCATAAGTGATTAGAAGTAAAAAAGCTGTACTGAAGTCCAGAAAAGTGGAAATGGAATTTGCTCTTACAGGTTGGAACCTGCACAACTGTTATACTTCTCAAGGAAGACAATTATTTTCCCACCTAACCCCCCCCCCCCCCCCCCCCTTTCCCCCACCCATCATCAGGGCAGTGCTAATGACTGAAGTGTCTTTAGGCCATTCCCAAAGGGGGGATATTAACATGTTCTTATGCACTAGAATTGTAAATGGGCTGATTCATCAATGTCATGCTTATACTGTGCCGGAACGACATAGGGGGCACTGCTGCTTTTTCTTTCCGCATCCTTACTATCGTCATTTTTCCTCTACTTCTTTTGTATGTTTGTCACTCTCTTGTGAACTGCTATTTCCGGGGTGCCTTGATAGTCGAAGCAGATTTTGTGCTTGACAAAGGTGAACAGAGTAAGTCTAATTCCCGGTTTGGACTTCTCTGTTGACACCCACCCCTTGGGGCTCAAATGACCTTATGCAGTTGCGAGCACCATAAAACGTTACTAAAAGAAAACTTCCCACCTACCTGACCTCCCCAGTGCAATCCGAGGATATGAAGTGAAGTCTCTCCTTCCTGACAGTGTTGTTGGGCCCGGCAAGTTTTCTGTGTCAGAGAATGAAACGAGGCACGTCATATTTACTGCAGAGACGCACAATTTTCCTACAGGTTTGTTGAACTCCTCTTTTACACGTTTCTTACAGTCCTCTTTTTCAATCAGACTTTCATGTCTCCGGGCTTTTCCAAAGTAAGTAAGTTTATTCAGTGTTTAAGGCCATTGGCCCACATCACATCACACAAAACACTCATTTGATGAGTAAAGTTTCCATATTGAATAAGTACAGGTTGTGCCCTTATCTCTTATCGTGGGTCAAACATTGCATATTTCTGTCACTGGGCTGAGTCAGCCTGGGAGGAATTAACAGTTTCATTTGATGGACAAAGTGTGAACAATAGAAAATAAAGTGAAATTCATCTTCAATTTCGTGAGAGTTACACCTCTCCCATAAGGGTGAATTTGTTAATTTCCACTGATATAGATTGTTATTTAATGGAAGGCTAGGAGTTTTTAACAAAGCTACGACTCTTCTGCTCCAATACCGTGGGAGGTTGGTGATATATTCAGCTGTTTCTTGAAACGGAACTGTAAGAGAGAATGAATTGTACTTGCAACAGACTTCTTCCTCAATGTTCTGCACAGAATGATCAACAAGTCCACTTTTTACTTCACTGTGAAAGAGTCTAGTACTTCCAACACTTTGAGAAAACCAAGCGCTTCTAAAGGAATGTTTAGCAAGAAAGACATTTGCAGAAGATGATAGTCTTACAGAACAAGTCCAAGATTAGCTGCTTTCTCTGGGCCAGAATATTATGTTCAAGGACAGGATATGGGAATGGGATATAGTATTCTTTTATGGGCTGCTGGAAGAAATGCATTTGTCTTGATGGGGACTATGTTGAAAAATAGCTGAATGGTGCTAAAAGAAATAAAAAAACGACTAACCATTCAGCAACTCACTGTGTATCAGTGGCCATTTTTAACTTTCTTTTCTGATTGTCATCGTACATGGTTATGCTTATTTTGCCTTTTCTTGGCATCGTGGTAAATGTAATATATGCATTAAAAATGAAAGTTCAATGTGACTTGAGTAACAGGAGATAAAAAATTGTACAAGTTTGATGCTCACTATATATTTGTTAAGAATTTTTTTCTGTGGTATACCAGCATATAGAAGCAACAGAAATGTGGTTTCTTAGGAGACTGCTGAGAATTTCTTGGAAGGAAAAGAAATCAAACTAGGAAGTACTTGAAGAAGCCCACAAGGGCCGCTCGCTGTTAAAAACAATCAGGTAACGACAAATGCAGTTTTTGGGACACCTAAATAGACATAAAGGTCTTGAACATCTAGCTCTCACTGGCAAAATTGATGGTAAACGAGGCAGGGGGAGGCCCAGAGCAACTTACATGGAGAACCTAAACAGATGGGTAACGGGGAAAGATCAGTATAATGTAGCTTTTTTGTTAAAGCATCTGAGCGAAGGAAAGAATGGAGAACCATGATCGCCGATGTCCGACTCACAGATGTGGAACTTGATGATGATAATAATAATAATAATAATAGATAGCATTTGTATAGCGCATATCCCCGCTCAACAGCAGGCTCTATGCGCTTTACACTATATTATTACCCCAGCAGACCATAGAACACTCCGAAACATTCTC